TTTCAAGAAAATCCACACTACATGTACCTCAGGTCTCACCCTGGCAGCTGAGACAAGCCACCCCAACCAACTTGGCGGCACATTAGTGTCAGCCTTGGCAGGATAAATTTCCCCAGATCTATCCAACGGCTGTGAAGATTCTAAACTAACACAAGTCTCATTAAGTGTCTAGTTTAAGGGTATTACACAGGAATACACCACGATGACATGAATCAATTATGTACTTTATTCATTTACAATAAATGTCAAAAAGGTACATCAATCTGATTGGAGCTAAAGGGAATAACTGTCTAACATCAAAATCATCAGGAAATTGGTTTCCGGGTTGGGTTAGAAAATTTTTAAAAGTTCAGCCAACCATTAGGTCTGGTTCGGTCATGTCTAATCTGATTTCTAACCCTTCCAACATGGGGATGATATTAGGAAAATGTTTGGTAAGGGGGCTGCAGGTGGAGAGGAAATTGGTACTGAGAGCTTGGTCGGAAAGAATAAGGATGAGAGGGCGAGCAATTTTAGAAAGGGTGTAGATGAAGATGAAGAGGAGGATAGAATGGGGAAGAAGTAGAACATGGGTGAGGTTAATGATGAAGTAGATGTTAGGGAAAGAGAAAATCTGTTGGGGGTGAAGGAAACAAAGATTCACTGGAGTAAAAGAGTTTATAGAATGCTACCTATTGAAGATGACTTGGGAGATGAAGTGGAAGGCGAGATTTTGATTGATGAAATACACGAGGTTGAAAAAGAAACTGATCTGAATATGGTCATTGACAAGGAGTTGGAGGTAAGAAAAACATTGGGCCTTTATATCTTGGGTGGAGAGGAATTTGCAAGGAATGCTTTTAAGGAAATGGAAGAGTCGACGAAAGATTCTGTAGTGAAGAATGGGAAGGATTTTCCAATTTCTTACTTTGGAGGTTCAGTTGTGGAAGGGGAGAAGGGCATGGACTTGCCAGCAGAGAAAGTGTTTGAGAAGAACGCGGTAATAGAACTAGAAAGGATTAATGAATCTGGGGGGAAGAGGAAGATTGATAAGAAAGTCCCTAATGCAGTTAAGTGTTTAAGCACCAAAATAAGAACCGAATTGTGACAGTTTCAAAGGTATTGCTAGATTGAGGGGAGATTTATTTGGTGTTGGCATAAATAAAAGGGTAAAAAAGACAAGAAAAGCAATGAAGAATAAAAAATAGGTTTTGATTCCTATAGATGAATGATTGGAAGGAAGGGTGTGAAGATTGCATTGGGTAATGGGTCTTTGGGTGGTCTACCTGATTGGCTTTAGATAGATGGGAGATAAATCTTTCGGAGGGACCATGCCTTTTCTTTTGGGTTTTGCATATGGGAGGTTTTTGAGTTTATATTTTGATATTGGTTGAGATTTTTTGATTTCGGGGAGGTTGAGTTTGATTTTGGGGTCTTCGGGTGATTCCTTGTGACCTGTTGTATTTTCTACAGTTTTCTTTAATAAAATTTTGTTTTTTATTTATCTTAAAAGAAGGCTTTTCTGATGCCTTGGCAAAGGATAAAGGTAACCAAAACCCGCTATTCTGGGGGGTTTCCTGGTGTTTTTTGTACATCACTACAGGATATCCCTAAGGGAGATCAAAGCTATGTCAAGGTAACTAAATATAACTTACTCTTGGATTCACAGATCAACAAACGGATTTTCTGATGTCTTGGCTAAGGAAAGGTGAAACTAGCTATGGGGGTTTTCTGAGCTTTTGTATATCCAAGGCAAAGGGAACATATGCATTCTTAGTTCTGAGAAAAACAAAAAAAAAAAAAAGAAAAAAGAGGAATAGGGTCTGGTTACTGGTGGAAACATACCTATACTCTTTCTAATTAATGAAATTTCATGTTATGAAAAAAAAAAGAAGTCACTAATGTGGTGACAGAATCATGGAGCCCAAATTACTACCTTCCCTCCTACCAGTTAATAGCACTCTCAAATAGTAGATTGAGGCTTCAACTAATCTAAATAGCCATAGAAAGGCAAAGCAATATTGATAAGTTCAGAAACCAAAATGCCGAGCCAACTTATATCCTTGTCCCCTTTCCTGGATTGCCCACTGCATACAACAAATTGGTCCAACTCTGGGAGGATTTTCATTATTTCTTTTCATTCACCATGTGTCATAACTTCTTAAGCTAGTGTTGCTAAAATATTGTAAAGGCTACTGGACAAAAATTATTGGTAGAAATCCTTTGTTAACATGTTTGTATTCTCTAGACCCCTCCAGAGAACAAAGGTGGTCCTCCACATGAAATTCCTCTGACATCCTCATGATATCTTTTACCCATCAACTGCAGGTGTCTTATCTCTTAGGTTTTTCTCAAAGATACAAGGAACTTGTCCACATTGAGTGGTCATGTTCAACCAAATTAACTGCCCTGCTGTAACACAATCAAATACTAAAGTGCTGAGGCCTGACCAATTAGGAGTTGGGACATGTTTCTATTTGCAGATTTACCCAATAATCCACTATACATCTCATAGACTACTCCTTTTGCAACACTTCCATTGTCCCCTTCCACAACCAAGTTATCCTAGGTTCTTAGCTGCCACCTTATTTTCTCCATTTGGGATGCATTTATAAACTCATTTTGTATTCCTTGTTTCTTACTCTTTCATTGGGCACCTCTCTGTACTGCATGTTAGAACACAGAGCTGAAAAACTTGAGATAGAAAATTTCCTTGTTTACAAATTAATTGTTTAAAAGTTGGTCTGCTTAATGTGTGGTATATTCTAAAATTGTATTAAGTACATTCTTTCCATAGTCTTAACTTTTGAGTTTCATTATTACATATCACTATTGATCGGTTCCATATCATGGGCAATGCCTTTGATGATCATGAGCATTTTAACGTGGATTATGAATTCCTTACAGTTCTTGTTCATGAATAGCATTTCATATTGGATAATGTCATATCTCAGGATTGATTATGATCTATAAGATCTTCTAGGTCAGGCATAGCAGGTCACAGGTTGAGACCTCTTTCAAATCCTACATTTGTGCTGATATTCCATTATTATAGCTAGTTTGCTTTAATGAGTTTAATGAAATAACCTCAATATTGGATTTGAAGATTCATATGGGAATTAGTTTATAGTGATTTGCATATTTGTAGGGATCATCAACAATAGCATTTTGCATTGGTGGACCTTATGGTCATGGGCAGCAACTGCGTCATCGTGCTAATGTAACAATCAAGCTGTCATCTTTGGTTTTAAATCATCAAATTGCACTACTAGTGCTTCTCGAACAACTTTATAGGTAAGTAAATTTCTTGTTTTGTCCTGTTTCAAGGTGTTTTCTATTGTTGAAACTTATACTTACTATGTTATGTATTCAATATTATAATAAACTTAAATGGATCTTATAATAAAAAGGCCATTGTCCAATGTTGGTCCCTGCTATCCGGGGTCTTGGGAGTAGATTGGATATGGTCCTAATTTTTGGCATATTTTTGCACACGTGGCCACTCTCAAACTCGAATCCATGTTCTCATTCTTGCCAGCCTGAGGTCTTACTATTACACCAAGTAATGGTTCCTAAATGGATTTCTAAAATTTTAAATACTTTAGAAGTCCATGACATAGATCATAAAATATAATCTTTTTGGATGTTAGGGGGAGGGGAGGGGGAAGGTTTGGAGTTAATAATGCCTATTTTATTGTTATAATCTTAAAAATTATTGTAAGATGGAGACCAATTGCATATGTTAACCATTTAATTAGATGAGATGGTTAGGATCTTTCAATTAGATAAATTTTCTTTGATTGTAAAAGAAAAATATTATTAAAATAAAAAAGAAAACTGATTACAACCACTTAATAGTTGCAAGGGAACACCTCCCAAGCTAGCTAAAGTAAACCTTCTACCCAAACTAAAAAGCAAACTACAAGTCAAACTAAATGAGATTCCCTTCTTTCAAGTACCAAACCTCATCCCTAGTAGCTCCTCCTAACAACCAAATTCAGTCCTCATAAAAAAATCCTTCATGGCCTCCTTCCTCATTCCATATCTCTCTCCATTCCCCTATTATGGTTTTCTTTCAGTACAAAAAGTTTCCTTGGAGGGATATTGAGTTGTTGTCTTTCTTAGGGTTCAATTAAGGGTGGATTTGAGTTGAGCCGATCCAAACATCTAGCTACTTGAGCTTGGCTCACCTAAAAACTATGAGCCTCAAGCACAAGCTTGAGCTTAATTTGAGCTGGAGACTTGAGCTCGAATTTGGCTCGACTCGAGTTCGACAGTGAGCCAAACTTCCTACAAAAAAATTATTTTTTATTTTACATATAAAAGTTAGTAAGTATAAAAACTAGTTATTATTATACATTATATATAATATTTTTATTATATATTATTTTTATACATGTGTATATATATATATATATATATATATATATAAGCTCGAATGGGCTCGAGTTTGACTCAAAGCTTGATTTAGACCGAGTTAAATCGAGCTTTTCATGAGCCGAGCTCTACTAGTTTGTGAAAAGCTACTCCTAGGTTCAATCAAATGCATGTTGGTATACCATGTATGCTGTCTTGAACCCTTGAAGACTTCAGAACCTGAATTGATAGGATGAAAACATTGCTCTGTTCCCATATTTGCATGCATAAAGACCTCAGATTGTTGTGAAGCGTAAAAAAATTTATCTATTTCTAAAGCCATTCCTCAGAAGTTGATGCTAATTTTATTAAGGTGTATTGTACTGACTAAATAAACTAGCAATTGTTTGAATTGTGTTGCTCAAAATGTGTCATTGGATCTATCATCCACTTATTTAGTCTGATTCTCTAATTTGACATTTTATTCCAGAGCATGGACAATTATTAAAGGGCAGAAATACCACCACTAGAGCTTCTTGCCTCATCCCCTCCCAATAAACTACATATGTAGGTATTATTGAAAAGCTATCTTCAAATTTCTCGTTTAATTGTATAAGCATTCTGTAATTTGAATGCTTTCCTATATTTCTTTTACTTCATTTGTATGCCATCTCAAAGTTGAATAGATTGAATTTCTATAATAACACAATTACATTGTTTCCCTGTACAACTATGATGCTTCTTTCTCCATGAAGTTAGTTGTGTTGGATTTACGTGCCTCAAATAGATAACGTGCTGTCATATGTACAAATTCTATTTTAAATATCTCATTTTCAACTAATATTTTCTTATTGCTTTATAAAATACTGTTGTGAATTTGTAACTCCTGCATGTTTAGAGGTAGGGATGGAATAGTCATTTTACCCATTCTGATCACCCTAATAATACAGTAGGTGCCAGTGCACCCACTATAAAAATTTCAATTTTCTATTTCTTAGAGCAGTTTCAACCATAATTTGAATTTCTTTTTTCTACACTCTCATCTCTTAATACTAGTGATTATTATCACTGGAGATTGTTTTCTAGGTGGCAGTTTGGCATTGTCTAGTCACTTGTATATTTCTTCAAAGGTAGGAAGTGATAAAAAGATTTTCTTTTTGGTAAGTAACTTTAAAATTTATTAGAAGGAAACAAAATATACAACATTACAAGCACCCCACGAATAGGTATGAGATGCACCTCTCACATCAAAAACAAAGGAAAACGGATTACAACTGAGCCCAATATAAATGATCCCTATTAACCCTTTGCTTAGATAAGGTATCAACCATCCCATTAGACAATCTTCTCACCCGTTAAATCTTCAAGATCATATTGCTAATTAACCATTTAAATTTCTTAATCTCATCCCTAAACTCCTAGATGACAGTTTCTAGAATTTTTGGCCATCTCATCACCAGCTTGGAGTCCCCCTCCACAAACAACTTCTCCAAATTCATCCCTAATCTCCAAATTTTTAGCCAGTAGATGCAACTACTGCAGATTTTACAGGAGCAGTCGATAGACATTTCTGGTGAAGATGAATGGAGCTGGTCCTGGAGTAGGGATGGCTGTTTCTCAGTCAAATCCCTTACTGTTAAGCTTAGCAGTACAGGGGTTACTGAGTTCTCCTACCAGCAAGTGTGGAATTCTTGTGCTCCCTCGAAGTCTATCTTCCTTGTGTGGACTATGGTGCTGAACAAATGTCTCTGAAGACTCAATCTGGATAGAAGGGGTATTCAGCTGCCCTCTCTGGTGTGTGGTTTGTGTGGTTTATTGCCCGAGTCCACAGACCATCTGTGTATCCATTGTCCTATCTCTTCGAGAGTCTGGTACCACTTTATAGCAGCGGTTGGTCTTTGTTGGGTCATGCAAAGTTCAGTTAAAGATCTGCTGCTTTGCTGGAATTCTCAAGGTCTGAAGAAAAAAGGAAATTTAAATTGGAGAATTATTCCTGCGGTTGTGATGTGGGTAATTTGGTCCGACAGGAACAGAAGAGTCTTCAGCAACAAATCTAAGAGCACTGAGGAGATTGTGCAGCAGGCGATCAGCAAGCTGATTTCTTGGGTGTCTGTAGCCCCTGATTTTAAAAATTTGAATGTTCCTGAATTGTTTGGATCTGTATCCATTTGGAATCTGTAACATGTCCTATGATCTGAGTAGCCACATGTGGTTAGCTCTCCTGTTGTAATGAGTTCTTTCTGAATTAATAAATTTCTTACTTTACCTTTCAAAAAAAAAAAAAAAATTCAAATCCTTAGCTATCTACACCCCTTGGATTACTGCAAGCACTCTGGTATTATTGCCCAGAGTTGAAGAGGTAAGTCAGCTTGGAGTGCCGAGCATTCTGGTGCTGGAAACTCCGATCAGAGAGGAAGGGGAAGAAGGAAAAGAAATATAAGGAGGGACAGGGGAGAAAACTTCAGTGGAGAGACCTCTGAGAGAGGAGGAGAAAGGGGGTGGAAGACGAAATAGGGTTTACAATAGAAAAAGAAGACCCAAAGACTCTTCACAGAGATTAGGAGGGGAACAAGGGGGGGAAGGTGAAGGACCAGTGATTGGGGAAAGGAACGGAGATAAAGATAAAGATAAAGAAGAACAGATATAAAAGGATCATGAAGTTGAGGAAATAATACAAAATGGGAAGGTAAATATTAATAAACTGGTGGAGAGGGAGGTGGAGGTTGGAAAGTCTCTCGGGCTAGTCTTCTGGGGAGGAGAAGGCTTTGTAAAAATAGCATTTGAAAAGTTTGAAAAAATGAAAAGAGAGGAGAAGAAGAAGAAAGGAAGAATATTTTGAAAAAATAAAGGGGTGGGATGAGGAGGGAGGAGAAGAGGAAGGGTTGGATGTGCTCGAGTAATTTGGGGGGAGGGGGAGGAGGATGAAGATTCTTAATTGGAATGTAAGAGGGTTGAGGAATGGAAGGAGGAGGGAGATAGTAAGGAACTTGCTCCAAAGCTTTAAAACAGAGGTGGTTTTACTTCAAAAAACAAAATTGGAAAACTTTGATATGGAATTGAAAAAAAAAGAGGAGGGGGAGAAGGAGAAGATGTGGGAGGAATTAGAAGGGTTAAGACAAAAGTGGGATGGGCCTTGGTGTGTGGGTGGGGACTTCAACATAGTAAGGAGGAATGAAATGAAGGGGTCTGTAGTGTGTAGGGTCATTTGGGAAGAAAGGAACAGAAGGGTATTGGAAGACGAGTCAAAAAACATAGAATATATGATAGCAGGAGTGGACAATATGACTTCTGCCTGGGCCATAAGTCTTCCAGAGTTTGACCAAGTACACAAGGAAGATCTGTTAGAGAACTTCTGGAATACTTTGGAATTGAATCCATGTAATTTTGATTCATTTTCAGTGTAATTCTGTTAAGCAGATGGTTTCATCTAGACAACCAGTATTTTGAGATGTACTGCATCTTTTTCAATGAATTTCCTTTTTAATATATATGAAGATATTTACAGAGAAGCCCTTGCAGGACTAAAGAAGAAAATAACAAGAAGGAAAATACAATACAAACAAGGACTACAGTAATATAATACATCATTGGGACTCTTCACAAATAGTGTGGTCCAGGCAGGACCTAGGGTTCAAAAAGTATTCGGGGGAGGGGAAGAGGGGGGCAAGGGAGAAACCCCATCTGAGTTTTTGCTATTGGTGGTTGGGCTGGGGTGTGGTTTCAGTGGATTTTGCCTAGTCTTGGGTTTTTGGTGATTGGTTTTGGGTCTGCCTGTTTGTGTTGTTTTGGTTGGTAATGTCGGGAGGTTGGGATGGGTTGTTCTGGGCTGTGGGGTGTTTTTGCACACATTGTACAGTTTTTTTGGCCGATGGCTTGCTTTTTGTAGAACACCCCATGGATGCTGAATTCACATTTTTTTGCTTTTTTTTTTTGTTTTACTATCAAGAAAAGAAAAAATAGCAAATTCTCTATAGCTGGCTAATGACCATATTAAATGTTTGGGGCAGAATTTTGATGAGAAAAAATTTTAAGGTAACTTAATTCGGAGCCTAAATAGTCTAACCTTTTTTGCGTGCAGTTTTCATTTCTGGCTTTCTAATTCATAACAAATGATTCAAATGTGATCACATTTTATCTTCCTTGGTGTTGTACTGGTCCCCCTTCATATATGCACATTCTGTCCTTGTATATTTCAAAGATATATTCAAGAGAGAAAAGAGTCTTCCTTACACTAAATAGTTGTCGGTCTAGATTCATGAAAGCAGGATCTAAGTTTGTTATGATCCACTTCATTAAAAGAAACCTAAATTTGTTAAAGCAAATTAGCTATTCTTGGTTAAAATTCTGCTACAAAGAATCACTATTTGAAGAATGGGTTTTAAGCAAAAAATGATCCCTTTTTTAAGCTAATTTTTAGCTCCCAAGAATCAATTCATAGAATGACTTTTGTGGCCAATAAAACAAAAATGAATTACTTGGAACAATTTTTATACATCCAAACTTAAAATGATCATTAGAATCACAAAACTAATCAGAGTTAATTCTCTGAAAGCATGTCACAGACAGCCTTAAAACTCAAAATTTCAGCAGCTCCATGAATTGGAATCTATTAGTGAAGTCTGAAATAGTAAAATAAGATAAGCAAAAGAACCAATTTTGTCAAACAATTGAATTGCATTGTCTTGTTATGATGTACTATAAATTTTGATTCATGTGTACAAATAAAATACAAAGATGTAGTTTCTGAAACATATAACCCGTTGGCAAATCCTTTAAAATGCGGATGCCAACCATGGGTCTGAGTGTTGAAAATTGTATGAAGAAATGTCTAGGGAGTGAGTATGTTTAGGAGGGTGACTCTAATCCTGACCAAGTGTCCAAACATGCACTCCAACCCACTGTCAAGATCTTCAATGCTGACTTCCAAACTCTTCAGCCTTGCCTTTGCTGTTTGCACCTTCTCAACATCAGCATCTTTCCTTGAAATGCTCTTGCTTATGACATGGATTGCTGCATCAACACTTTCTACCTCATTCTTCTGATTGACTTCACAAACTACCATCTCTTTGCTGCATCGACTAGGCTTCCGCTTTGACATTGGCACAGACATAAACGACAACAGGGAATGAAATATGGAGATGGTAATAGCACTGACTTCTTTTAGTACTCTAGCTATGATTGATAGATGGTCTTCTAAAACCATATGTGGAGAAGATCCAAATTTGTTTTCCATTTGCTTCAATATGTCAAGACCCTTGACAATATCTTTCTTCATCTTCTTTCTCGCAGAGATGAAAGCATCAATGCAGGATTGGAGGCTTGACTCTTCACCTTTTCTTCTACGAAGACCAGATTGGAGATCTTGAACACTCTGTTTCATTTGCAGTAGCAGGTCCCTTGTAGTTCCACACACGTCCAACAATTTGACAGACGTATCCAGCACTTCAGAAACCCATTTCTGGTCTTGGAACTGGAAGAGAGCTTGTTGGGTGAAGGGCAAATTAAGAAGATCTTTGACGCATTCGTACACATCTCCAAGGTCAGAAAGACCAACACATATAGTCTCTGCCTTTAAGCTGGATGTCGACAATTCCTCCCAAGCCTTTAATTTGTTCAACTCTTCTTCGATCGTAGAAGTGGCAGGATGTGATCTGGCAGGCAAACTATTTGAACGGACATGTTGACAGTTCTCAGATTTTTCAAGATAACCAGCCATTTTTTTTGCTCAAAATGAGGAAAGCCAAAAACTTCTGCAGTGCACAAGTTTCTGGTTCAATCATCTATTTATAACCAAGAGAAAACATAAAAAAATACAGATGGGTGGAGGCAAGAAGAATCTTTTAAGTAGGCATCCTTACTACATGTGAATAGCAAGTAAATTTAATGTGATTCTTCCTCTGTATTCGGTCATGTTGTCACAACTCTGGCTAACAATCTGTATTTTTAATAGTGAAATTATTAACCATGGGATTTTGATGTTCATATAATAGTGCCACTTCTCTCCTTGTCTGCCCATCACGCTTTACTGCAGATCTCACATTATCTTCTTTAATAATTTCATCACAGCTGTCTATTCACATTATCTAACCTTTACATAGCTTGGTCAAGATGTAAAGGTTGAGATCTCGAAAGATATAGAAAGACATATAAAGTAGAAGATGGAGACCGACAAAATTAGCATTTATTATATTTGTATGCACGAGTGGCTTGTTGTCAGATTGTCTCTATGTCACGAACCCACCATGACTCAAGGGGACGTGGTCAACGTCGAGAATGCAGGAGCAAGATTAGGAGCAGGACTCTTTTCTTTTTAAGTTATCTTTTTTTCTGTTGCTGTTCTTAGTTGTTATCAGTTCGCCGTTATCTCCTATTTTTCTGTCAGTATTAACTTTTAATAAGGAGTTTTGGCTCCCATTTACTCGTTATAATCGATTATTTATAGTCTTGTTAATTATCAATGAAGAATATCGGATTTTTATCTCTTAATACAAAAGTTAGTGGTGGTCTGGGTTTCCTTGAATTAACCCAATGTGTCTCAATTCTCTGTCAAAATAGGGAAGAAAAAGTATTCCTCTTCATCATCGGTACCATTTTCCGGTCAAGTTCCCCAGCTCCCACGTCCTACCACAAGATCCCAAGTGCAGGCTCGTGACACTCCATTGATGCAAAACAAACCAAATATAAAAGTAAAAACACTGCCTGATTTCTCGATTCTGATTAAATATTATGATGAGTCGTATTGGCTCCTGGCGATGTTCTACCTGCCCTGCTATCAATCAAACCATATTCCTGTAAATTCACTAATAGTTTTAGCATCATAATTTTACTGAAGGAGACAGACAGTTTTAGCATCATATTCCTGTCAATGGGGTGGGTTCTTTTGCTTGAAAAATAGATTTTGGTGTGGGTATAGGTTTTGGGATTTTACAAGTCATACGGTATGGGTAGGGTACAATGTTAATCTAAATCCAACCCTCCCTGACCTGTACATTATTAGAAGGCATGTGAATTTATTTAAAGGATAATTGGTATTTTATTTTCTACTTGTTTTAATCAAATAATTAAAAATTTTGATGCTTGTTCAAGTAATTTTACTTGTTTACTGTTTATATATAACATGAAATAATTGCAAATTAGATGTGGGTTCTAGATCCAATCACCAGCCTGAACCTTTAGCAAATCATTTGCATACTTCTCTTGAGAAATAAAAATTTTATCTTCACTTTGTTTCACTTGCATTCCAAGAAAATACTTCTTGATATTCTTCCATCATCGCCTTCTTGAAATATTCCATCATCTTGGGATTGGTCCTTGTATATATGAAAGGATTTTTGCCTCTAACAACCTTTGAACTTTTCAAAAAAAAAACAAATTTGACCCTAAGAATAAAAAAGGCCATTTTCAACCCTAAATTTTGATGACGAGGCCATTTTTAGGCAAAAATAGATGATGTTTGAAATTACACTGATGAATCGGTTAGAAAATGTTATGTGACACTACTAAAGTTTGAGAAAGGCCACTTTCGACACTAAAGCTTGAAAATGGGCTATGTTATGTTAATTAAATAAATTATTTCAAGGTCTAATTAAATGACCCTAAAAGGCCACTTTCTTGTTCTTTGTTCTCGTTCTTCCACCTTTTTCATTTCTTTTTCTCCTATAACAGAAATAGGGTATTCAATAGTTTGATTAGTGTTGAGGTTAATATCAAGGAGTTTTTGTTTAAGGCCAGGCTGGGTTGAGTTAGGCAACCTTAGGTAGGAATGTACTTTGAACTGACCGAACTTGTACTCGTACTAATGTTTGTTCTTACTTGATGCATATATGGTTATCATTGTGGTTTGTTCAAGGAAGATGAAGCATATTGAGATGAAACGAAGTAGGTGGTGGTCACTTAGGAACACATTGAGATTCCAAATGATGACTAAGTCAGGATGGAGGCCTTTGAGGTGGCTCCTCGGGTGCTGGAAAGGAGGTTGTTTATGTTAGAGTGGCCTGTCCTTGTCATTGACATTGACATTGACTCTATGAGGAATAGTCAAGTGGCCTGAGGGATCTACCTTCTTATGGATTTGGAGGAGGCCATATCTTATTCTACTGAGGTTCTTCAATGTTAAGCCTACATAAAGGAAATTGAAGTTAGTATGTTTCTTGTTTTCTTGGTGCTGAGATGGTGTGATTCCAGAACAAAGAGAAAAGGAGGAGAAGGGAGAAGAGAGAAAAGAGAGAAGAGAGACAAAATTGAAGATACCCTTTTGAGAGTGGGCCACTTCAATTCCAAGGAAATATCGAAGGGGACCTAGATCCTTCACCTTAAATTTAGTGGCTAAGAAATCTTTTAGTCTCTGAATTTCATTCTTCTAGTCCCTTGTGATCATTATGTCGTCAGCATACACTATAAAGGCTGCAATCTTTACTTCCCCTCTTTTTCACAAATAGAGTATGGCTAGTCTGATATTGTTTGTAGCCAATTTGCTGTATAGCTAGATGAAACTTGCTGAACTAGGCTTTTGGTGACTTCTTTAGTCTGCACACTTTCTATTCTTTGCCTAGGGCACTAAAGCCAAGAGGTTGAACCATGTATACCTCTTCCTCAAGGTCTCAATTCAGAAGGGCATTTTTAATGTCTAACTAATGAAGATTCCAATCAAGATTTGCCGGAAGGGAGAAAAGAACTCTAATGGAATTCATCTTGGCTATTGGGGCAAAGGTCTCTGCATAATCTATACCATATACCTGGGTAAACCCTTTTGCCACCAACCTAGCCTTGTACCTTTCTATCGTGCCATCAGCTTTGTGTTTCATTGTGAACACCCACTTGCACCCTATCGGTTCCTTAGCCTTAGGAAGATTTACTAATTCCCACGTACCATTTTTATGTAGGGCATTTATCTCTTCTTTCATTGCATCTGTCCATTCAGGTACTAAGAGAGTTTCTACCACATATTTTGGGATAGGGACACTGTAAATGGAAGAAATGAAAGCACGAAAGGAGGGTGAGATGTTCTCATAGGTAACAAAATGGGTAATAGGATACTTGGTGGTACAAGACCTAACTCCCTTCCTTTTTGCAATAGGAATGTCAAGGTCATCATCATATGGAATTTCTATGGCAAGAGGGCCAGGAACATCAGTAGGAGGAAGAACCTTAACCTGGTTGGATATGACCTGTCCCCGGTGAATCTGATGATGTTGGCGGTACGGTTTCAAGTTGCTCTACAACTCTCGAATTTAGTTGGCTCTTGCGACGACGAAAAACACAGAATGGAGGAGGGTCAGGCAAAGGAGGAAGAACCTAAACCTGAACTGATTTTTCCTCCACCTTACTCTCCCCTTGAGGAGAAACTGGGAAAAAAGGATCACTTTAAAAGAAAGACATATCCATAGAGACATAGTACTTCTTGGAAATGGGGTCAAAGCATCGATAGCCCTTTTGGGAAGAGGGATAACCCAAGAAAACACAAGAAATGGTACGAGGATCATGTTTTCCGCGAGTAAGAGAAAGGTCCTGGACAAAACAATGACAACCAAACACACGAATAGGAGTAGAGAAGAGTGGAGCCTTGGGAAAAAGAAACTGATGGGGGGCCTTGTACCTTAACAAGTGAGATGGCATACGGTTGATGAGATAGGCAGCATACAACACAACATCCAACTAGAAACGTTTAGGAACATTCATGTGTATAAGTAACCTATGAGCAACTTCAAGGAGAGGATGATTCTTCCTTTCAGCAACAACATTTTGCTGGGGGGTTCTAGTGCAAGATCTACGGTGTATGGATCCGCACAAGGCAAAGAACTCCGTGAGATCACTATAGAAATATTCTTTGGCGTTGTTTGATTGGAAAATTTGGATTTCCATTTGAAACTGAGTGAATATCAAGCATTAGAAATCTTTAATGATTTTTGATACTTCATCCCTGGACTGCATAGGGTACACCCATGTATATCAGGAGTAATCATCAATAAGTGTAATGAAATATCTATAGCCAGACTCGGTTGCCAAAGTAACAAGGCCCCATACATCAGAATACACAATATGGAAAGGAAAATCAAATTTATTATTTCTTGAAGTAGAGTGATTTCTACAATGTTTGCTTAACTGACAAGTTCGACATGTGAAATCTGACACTGACTGATTTAAATAAATACAATAACAAAACTTTCAATGACTCAAAAGATAAATGACCCAAACGACTGTGCCATAAAAAGGACTTGACTCTTATTAGTTAGACTCTTAGACTCAATAGCCGCAAGACAATCTTTATTCTCCAGCATGTAAAGACCATCTACCATATGACCTCTACCAATCGTCTTCCCCGAGGCAAAATCCTGTATCATACAAGAGGAAGGAAAAAATGTTACTGAACAGTTCAGAAAATTTGTTATACTACTAACAGAGAACAAATTTTTGGGTAGTTTAGGAACATGTAGAACATCAGAGAGGGTGAGTCCAAGAGGAAGGGAGATGGTTCCTTGACTAGCTATGGTGGAGAAAGAACCATCAGAAAGTCTCACCTTGTCCTGACTAGAGAATATATGATAAGATTGAAAACAATTAGACTTACCCGTCATATGGTTCGAGGCTCAAGAGTCTATTATCCAAGGGGAGTATGAGGGATGTGAGGACACATGGAAAACTATGGCAGAATTATCGTTACCTGATGTAGATGCAAAGGAAGTCGAGGGTGGAGAAGCAGAATCCATCTGGCGGATT